GGACAAAAAACACCTACAATAATAACTGTAATAATACTACACTATATTACACTAGTGATAAGTACATGGCATTTGGAGCAACTTTTAAAATTTACAAAAATCTAATTTTGATCAGAATCAGCCCAAACTTTCTATGCAATATAAGTACATTTAAAAAATATTATTATAGAGTATTCTCTCCTAGTGATTTTGTGGGGAGTTTTGTACATATGGTATAAAGGAACAAATATTCCTAGTATACATGCATGAACACAGATTTGTACTACAAGTACAAATTTGAAAATTCTAAGAAAAACTCCAAGTCAATATAAAAGTACATCCATGTGTACATTATTTCCTAGAATTCTGATTTGTTCAAGTACAAGTACAAGTCAATCCCCACCTGTTCACATAAACCACCACATTCATCTGTAATGAAGCAAAGCAGATACAATCACAATGTCATTCACTAACTCCACCTTCTTTCTCTCCCTCTCTCTCTCTCTCGGTCTCTCCTACTATATTGTAATTGAGGTATAATCCTTTTCTTTAATGATTATTATTTAATATAAACCACATTATACATAAATACACACATACACAGTAATATTGAGGTAATGCACACTCATGACTAACCATATACCAGTAGAGCATTTATTCAATGTACAGTCATATAATGATAGAGTATGTCTGTGATTGTACACATAATGACTTATCATGTAAGTATGATTACCATGCAGTCCATAGTAAAGATGAGAGAATAGAGCAGGAGAGATATAGACTAAGAGAAACTGATTGAGTGAAGCAGATACAAAGTATCTGCTTAACTCAAAAATTGATGATTTTTAATGATTAATAATTAATTAATGATTGATGATTTTTAAAATTAATGATTGAGTTTGGCATATTAATGCCAAACATTATAGCCTCCCTTACCACACCCTGATGTACATGTACATGTACATGTACGTCGATATGTGTATACCTGTACATGTACATGTACATGTATACAAACTTTATCAGTATCAATATGTACATGTACATGTATTGGATTTAAACTTCAATTCTCTAATATATAGCTGTATCTTTATTGTAATTTTCCCTTCCCACTTTAATGATACATGCTTTATTATGCATGTACAATGTACATTGTGTTTATTTCTTTAATAGAAAATCCTCAGTCTACAGTCCAAGCCAGTAGTGATAGATGTTAAAGCTACTGAAGCACTGCTCTATCGTATCAACCCAAACACTTATAACATTGAGAAAGCTACCATTGAATCAACACTATTTGTACCACGGAGTAAGATATACATAAATACATACATGTACATGTACTATCACTACATGTACATGTAATGATTGTATCATTAATTGTTCATATATTTTGTACATCAGATTGTGATAAAATTATTTTTTCCTATTTCCTGTAGGTGTTACTGGAGGAGAGGGGAAACTATGGTTTGGATTGGTAAGTTCATGTGCATGTACATCTACAATTACTGCATAGTGGGAAATTTTGGAGGGACTAAAATTTGGCAAACTGCTAAACTTTGGTGATTGGCAAATTTTAATTTTGGCGAATGGCTATCAAATCGCCAAATTCACCAAATTTATTACCTTCCGAAATTTCCCGCTACACAGTAGTCTTTCCCTTTCAATCATACATGTACAAAACTAGCTCCATGTAATGCATGTGTACAAGTACAGTACTTGTATGATGCAATTTAAACAAAAATTCAAAATCCCACCTCTCTTTCTCTCTCCTCCCCCATAGGGTAATGGAGTATTGCGTGTGTACGATATGGAGGACAGGTGCTTTGACTCTGATCTCAAGATAATGGACTCCAGGAGAGGAAAGACAGTCCGTGTGTCTTGTCTGTTGCTAGTGGATTATAACGTTTGGGTCGGATCACTTAATAAAACTATTCATATTCTTGACGTGGAGACTCTCTGTCGTAAGTCAATCTGACCGGGATTAA